AACCCAACCCGATTTTCAAAAAAAGTCGAAATGTTGAACCAGAACCCGACCCGTTTCGGATTCCGGTTGACCCTAACCCAAAATTTTCGGATCAAGTTCGAGTCGGACTTTCGAGACGTGTCAATATTGACACCCCTAACTTTAATGTCATAACAAACACGTCAATTATAAAATATTAATACTTTTTTAGCACTAATTTTGATTTTACAAAATATAAAATATTTTTTTCTACGCAATGCCCTTCTGAACTTTATATATATATATAATTTGCATGTACTTTATTGAGCCAAACATGTTCAAGCGTTTTCTTCTTCAAACTCAACTTATTTGCTTAACGAACAAGCCAAAAAAAGGTTAATTAAGAGAGCATCACTGCAAATTTCAGATACTTTTTTACACTGCTATTAGTGATAGAATCCATTCCCACCACCATAAGTTTTGATATAAACCATCTTATAAGTTATAACCATCTATAACATGAAAATTTTTTCTAATAATTTTTCTACAGCAAGCTATATAAAATTTTGAAAAGAAAATTATGTGAGTCATTATAATATGATCAAGCCCAAATTTAAAATTAGCACTAGTATTAAAGCAGATATAACAATTTAAAAATTCATTTGATTAAAAAATTGTATCAGAATATCATAATTCAACTTTTCTCCTAAAAAAATTCATTATCTTAAATTATGATTATATCATTTTGGCTTCATACGAGGAGAGATTATTTTGTGCGGACTCTGGACGCAGCTCTACGTTCGGAAGCGAATCAAATGCAGCCACGTCAGCAGTACCGAGTAGTACCAAGCCTCGGTACTGAGCCGCGGTGTCGAGCGAAGGGATGACGTGGCACATTCTGGTTGGTCTCTGGATGTCGTTCGGCGTCCGCACAAAATAATTTTTCTCATATGGGACGGTTTTTTTACTACGTCTTAAAGCAACTTTTTAGCACTAAAAAATTAATTTAAGAAGTAGTAAGAAAGTCGTCCCAAACATAGCCTTTGATCCTCTTTCGCTTTTTATGATTTTGCCAATAAAGAGGAACTTAATTCAACGACATGGTTAAATGTGAATGAAGTGCAATGGTCTTAACAAGCACTATTTTTTTGGTGAAATGACCGGCAATGCCGACCCACTGAGCCTGCACCCACATGGCCACACGCATGCTAAAGACTAAAGAGGTTACTAAGAGCCATTAAACTTCTACCAGGAATAGGCCACATGCCATTCAGTAATAAATAAATAGATAAATAAATAAAGTAAGGCTCTCAAAGAAGGAAGTTGGACCACTGCAATGGTGGTAGGAATCCAACTCAAAAGCTTATAAAGATAAGAAGATTGTGTTGGAGCTCAATAAGGATAGAGATATCACAACTATGAGGTTACTCATAAACATTTTTAATTATACTGTAGATCGAAATAAGAGAGATTATATATAGGAATGAAGAACGAGTATAATCAATTTAAGTAATAAAGAGTCATGCATTGTACAGCAAATTCTATGGTTCGAAGTAGTAGCTAGCTAGGATTTTTCTATCTGTTCTCCACTAGAGAGATCAAATCCCTCGAATAATTAACAACATCAAACTTTCGTCCCATTACATAGGGTCGGTTACATAAATCCTTTTTCACTATTGTATCATGTTGAAAGTCAAATTCTAATTTAAATCTAATAAAGAAAGATCATTTCTAATATTTTCTAACCAAATCTTTTAATTAAGTCTATCTCTACCTTTTTAACATAAGTCAAATCTAATACCACTAATTTCCTAACTGGGTCATTGGATAGCCGACGTTTTACGTGACCAAATCATCTTAGACGGCTCTCTCTAATCTTATCTTCCATTGGAGCTACTCCAACCTTTTCTCGTATATGCTCGTTTCGTATCCTATCTTCAAGGGTAAAGCCACTCATCCACCTGATCGAGCATCCTCATCTCTGCAAAACTTAACTTAGTATTATACTTCCCTTTTAATTGGTTAACATTCGGCACCATAAAGCATTGCAGGTCTCACCACCATGTTATAGAATTTTCCTTTAAGTTTGAGGGGACTTTTCTATCACACAACAAGCCCGATGCTTTCTTCCACTTCAACCATCCAACTTGAATTCTGCTAATAATATCCCAATTTATTTTTCAATCACTCTGAACAATAGAACCAATATATCTAAAACGTGTACTCTTATTAATGACTTGATCGCTGAAAGTCACAATCCCCTCACTAGTCTAGTATTGTTTTCTAGAGAGAGAGAGAGAGAAGGATGGTTTACATTATTATTATTATTTTGATGGGCTAATGGAGGCAATGGCCTTTAGCCCCATTGTGTTAATGATTTTGCTCCTTTGGTTTGTATATTTTATTTATGACCAGCAAAACCAAATTAATTAAAGACAGCACCATCCTTTTTCTATGTCTTCCATTACCATTTCAATTATATCTTTTGTTGACAAACTAAATTATCTCTTTGAACAAAGGACCCTAAAACCAGATAGGCAGAAGATTGATTGAAGGCACTGAGATCCAAGTGGCGTTGAGGCAAAGAAATCTCCTGCGTGCGTGGGCTGCTCATGAAAGCTGTAGCGTAAATAATCTGGGTGGAATTCCACGTGTCACTTTGACCGGAGACAAAGTGGGCACTTGATGGGTTGACTAATTTCGTTGGGCATGCAGTTTCTTCTCGTTTGTTTGAACTTTAAGCAATGGGGTTAGACAACTAAATCTAAAGCAACGTGGAATGAGCTGAATGCAAAGAACGAGTGTGCTTCCTGAGTGTCAGCACAACGTTCTATAAAGTCAACGCAAATAGCTAAATAAAGTCAAAAAAAGAAAACGCGCGGCTGAAAGGAATTTGCAAGCCATTAACATGCAAAATAGTGGAGGTAGAAGAATGAAAGTACTGAAATGAGTGGAGGTTTAAAAAAAAAAAAACAGAAGAAACAGAAGAAAGCTATTCCCAACTTCTTTGATTTTTTATAAAATAATTTTTTAGCAAAAAAAATTTAATTAAAATTTTTTATACTAAAAAATTACTTTATAAAATATTGAAAAAATTGTCTCAAATTAAATCTTAAATTTAAAAAAGATATATTTCAGTGCATTGAATTTGCTTTTAAAAGATTTAATTACTCGGGCCTTGAGGCATTGTAAAGGGTGTGGGAGGTTCAAGAGTGGCTTTGGTGGAGTTAGAGAGGGAGCTACAAGGTTTTGTAAGAGAACAATCTACCAGAAAAGTCTCTTACATGATTTTGTTGGAATTATATGGGCATCCACATGAGGATGTGGGCTACTAATTAAGAAGTATAAATCATTCAATTGATCTTTCATATTTGTATAGAGGCTGGCTTAGTCATGTTTAAGAAATAGAAAAATCATTATTGTCTTCATTCATATTTATCATAGTGATTCACACATAGTAATAAAATAAACGGGAAGGCATTGTGCTGCTAATCAACCAAATTAATATGAAAACATTCAAATTAGGCCTTACTAACCTTACCATTTCAAATGAATTTTCCAAAATTTGAGTTTTGATGTTAATATGTTGATGTACTCTTCAAATCTTACAAAGTTTATCTTTGATACCAAGTTATGACTTAAGAATGGTGGGTTTGATAGATTATACACAAAATAATGGAGATTGAGTTATAGTTAAGTAGTCGACCGAGTAGGGATTTATGTGTTTGGTAGATAGCTATAAAGAGGGAGTGATTATTGCGTCTGGACACCGAACGTGTCCAGAGACCAATAAAAAAGCGTCACATTATTGGGTTCACTTTGCCACGCTCGTTACCGACCGCGACACCACTCGGTACCCTCGGTACTGTGTCCGAACAGAATAATTTTTCATAAAGAGGAGAGCGAAAACATATATAAATTAATATGTTTGAGATCGAAATCTCAAAATTAAATAATTTTATAATTAAAAAAAAAGGGTTTGTGAACAATGCGACACCAACTGTACACAGCAACAAAAATGTAGCTGCGAATGTTGTTTTGGGTGGATAGCTCGCAGAATTACAAACGGCCTTATCTAGTTAAATTGGAGATGTCATTATTAACATTGCAAATGGGATTTGGAGACGGCTCTCCATTGTGTTCATAGGCTTGATCTTTATCTTTTTTCAATTAAGGCTTCGTTCGGGACATCTTTTTTGTTGTTTTATAAAACATTTTTCTAGTACAAAAATTTCTTGAATTATAAAATTTAATACTAAAAAATTATGTTCAGAAGCAACAAGAAAGCTATCCCAAATGAAATGATCTTTATCAGTTAGCAAATCTTTACAAAGTTTAATATTTTAAACTATAGTATAAAACATTTTAAACTATGAGATCAATTTTTCTAATAATTATTATTTTCAGTTAGCAAATCTTTTTTGTTGGGAGGTGGAGCTAGATCTTGTGAAGAATGAAACTCAAGAAGATGGTAGAGCAGTTCTTGAGAAAATTATTAACTGTCGGTGGACGCTTTTGGCGGGGGTGATCAGTAGGGTTATTCTTTGGTTGTTCTTTATGAAAAGTGATTATATTTTGTTGTGTAAATCTAGGACCAAGGTGGAGATTGTTGAATATTTGTTTCTAGATTTAGGATTGCTTTTAGTTTAGGTTTCTTGTTTGGCATGTATGCCAATAGTGTAGCTATTTGTATAACTTTAGGAGTCTATATATATGAGCTCTTTAGGTTGTAATAGGTGGCCAAGAAGAAATAAAGTTTCTGGGCATTTGACTCTCTCTCTCTCCCTTCTTCCTCTCCTCCTCAAGAAGCTCATGTAGGAAGTGCTTCTTCCTCTCTAGAGAGCAAGGATTCTTACAAATATTGATTTCAAAATTCCTCAAAAACTTTCTTTAAAACAAGATAGAATAATAATTTCACAATCAAATTAGGTAAAAATAAAATGCTTATCATTTCCTAAAATATATATATATTTTTTATCAACAAGGAAGCAAATGACACCTAACATGACTTTCTAACAGCAAGCATTGCAAATAATTGTACATTGGAATTACTGACTATTGTGGCTTTTACTCTATAACCACAGTTTATTTAGTTAATTCAAGAAATTTGTGACTAATTGTTGCTTTTACTAGTTGTATAATAATAGTATATCATGCACTAAAACTGTCATATAAGAAACAAAGGTAAAGCAAAAAGTTCGAGTATATTGACCACAAAACTACAATATTCTAGCCGCCAAGTGTATCACAGTTATGTTCAGAAAATTTTCTTGTGTAGTCACTGGAGCATTTGTGCAAACACCTTGTGAGCACTGACCTGGGTGACTGGTGTCATTGAAGGCTGAATCAATGGGACTTCCACACCTACTTAGATCTTCATAGAGCTCATTCATAACCATTTGCACCTGCATTCCATTAGCATCAACACAAATGAAATATGACCAATTGTCAACACACGAGACAATGCCAATCTTTGCACAAACCTATGTGAAGTGGGAAGCCCGCTCGGAACGATGCACTGGCTCGGCAATTGGTTCCTGTCTGTCATGAAGAGAACGCAAAACTTCCATCTAATCAGCCCTGGAAAGACCGTTCGGCATATGAATATTGATCTACGCATGTTCAGCAGCCTCCAGTTCACAATGTGAGTAGCAGGCGCAGGTTCGAACTTGCCTTTCAAAACTTCATGTAGAAGCTGGACTGAGATCCCATCTATATCGTTCGAGTCAACCATCGCAGCAATTGCTTCATCAGTTGCAAGTTTGAGATCTGCTAGCTGGTCGCATTCCTCCACCTCAAGAGAGTTCAAAGCCTATTTGTCGTAGCCTTCAGTTTAGCGGGATTTTCGTGAGGTAGGGCGAGCTTGTGGAAGGGGGAGAAGGAAGTGGGCCTAGGAGATAGAGGTGAGATCAGGGCTAGGGCGAGTTCGGGTGCAGAGAGAAAGAGGCGGGCATGGGAGACGAAGGCATCTCATGCAACATTGTTAGTTCTAAGTTATGTAAAATGCTCTGTTTGCAAGTCACACAATAAAAAAAAAGGGATTTTTACATACATGCCACTTTATAACATGTATATTACATATTTAACACTCAAAATTTAAATATTACACTCCTACCACTCAAATACAAACTTAACCTCAAAAATACCACTCCCTTTCACTCCGTCTCTTCTCCGCTTCATTTCACGCTACCCTGCCATAAAAAATCTGCTCCTTCGGCCTTTCCCACCGAACTAAATTGTGCCAAAATTGTAGAACAGAAAATAAATCCATGCATTAACACATTAAGCCATTAAGTCATAAGTTTTTTGTTATTTTGTCAGCACACATTTGAGTTGTAAGAGTAGCTACTGTGAATAAAAAATGCAGAAAAATCATAGATGATGAACCACAGGGAATGCTTACAACTGTCCGCCTAATGATATGTAAATAGAGCCATAAAACCAGTGCTACCATGGTTTCGCTGCCGTGAATAAAGTCATAAAACCGATGCTTTGTGCGGAAGTGAATAAAAATGCAGAAAAATCCAAATATCTCACCAGTTCTCCGTGAATAAAGCCAGTGCTTGTGCGGAGTGAAGGCCACAGGCGGAAGAGCAGCTCAGGTTTCGATTTCGCTGAAACTTGTTCTCCCGCGAACGGGATAGAGTAAATGAAGCGGAGAAGAGACGGAGTGAGAGGGAGTGGTATTTTTGAGGTTAAGTTTATATTTGAGTGGTAGGAGTGTAATATTTAAGTTTTGAGTGTTAAATATGTAATATACATGTTATAAAGTGGCATGTATGTAAAAATCCCTAAAAAAAAATAAGATGAACAAGTGATATGGAGAGAGAGAAACTCCCACTTAAGGAATCAATATAAAGAGGCACAGAAATTGGACTCTGGTAATATAGATGAATGTCATCATGAGAAAATATCCCAATCAAGGATTTTAATTGTCAGGAAAATCATATTAAGTTTATCTTGCAGAGAACAACCTAACACATTGTTATAACGACTACATTCTGTAAACTTGAATATGATTATCTTAATCATGTTGCATTTTTAAAGATTGAGATGAATGCAGCAAATCGGCAAGCAAATATTACAGATTGTTGAATTCAAATCTATCTGCCAATTAGATCAAAACTTTACTTACAGATCAAACTAAAAAGAGAACAAAGAATGAAAAAAAGAAAAAAGATTCGCTAAATGGGCTCAAATACCAAAAAATTTCTCTCTCCTGAGCTCTACCTATGACCCCCAATTTATAGGTTTGTGTTGATCATTACGCACTACAAGATTGACCACACATAGTTATATAAATAAGAAAGATTATAAGAGCTAATCTTATATGACTGTCAATTAAAACTTTAGTGAATTATTTGTTTAGCCGCTATCCAAATGAAAGTCAAATATTTATCTAAAATAAGTCCTCGATCTCAAAGAAGACAACAATCTTACTGAGAGAGCTCATCTCATGAGTGAAAAGCATGAATAAAGTAAATATAGCCCAATATCTTCAGGGATAAGAGAAAATCCAGTTTGGACAAGATAAAGAGTGGAGAATTGGAAATGAATAAAGATTATGAAGGAGGGGGACAAGAACGAAGATATAACATATTGTCATGATTGTATCCCGAAAAACTGATGAGGGACATTCATATGAAACAATAATGTTCTTGCCCCACATGGTGACATTTTGCATTCAGTAATATCATTCTCTTGAGATATATGAGGAAAATAACTTTGAAGAAAAATATTATTAGCAGAGCTAAAAGTGCAAAAAATGAGACTACATAAATTCTAAAGCATTGTCGATGCATAAAGTTTTGATTAAGGAGGAAAAATAAATTTTTCATAAAATGGCTGAAATTTATTCAAGACCTCTGACCAACATTTGAAAAAGTAACTCAAATGACCTTTAAATAATCATCAATGAATGTATTAAAATAGTGATATCCTAAGTAAGGACAGAAAAAGAAGCTCAAATATCAGAGTGGACAAACACAAAAGAAATAATTCAATGACTAGTAGTAGAAGGAAAGGAAACAGGATGATGCTTTCTTAACTAGCAAGAAGAATAGCCAAACAAAAAGACAAAGTGAAAAACAAAATCCCAATGCCTGTCAACAAGAAGATGCACCAACCAATAATGATATTAATATGAAGCAATAATGGAGGAAAGAGCTGAAGGAATATCAATCGTCAAAGTTATAGATTACATCAGCTTCAATACATCAATCTTTCTTGAGTTAAGATCCTAAAAGGAAACACAATGATGTTTGGTTAATTCGCAAGAACGACCAAAGCAGGATAGAGATGAGGTGACAAACAAGCTTTTAATGTCTACTGCGAGGAGGATGACTCAACCGACAATGCCATTGATATGAAGTAATAATGGAAGAGAAGGCTGAAGAAATGTTAAATATAATGCTATAGATTTGATAGCTTCATCACCAACAATCATACTTCAATTGAGATCCTTAAAGATAATGAGTGAGAAAGTTACAAAATAATTATGAGTATGTAAAATAATGAATAGAAAATAAACCGACAAGAAATTATAAAATATTAAAACATTAAAAAAAGAAAGAAATTTGGAAAGATGTGCAATGCCCTTTACTAGAGACAAAAGAGGGAGCAACAAGTAACCATGAAAGGTGGTTGACATGTTAACATGAGGAGTTGAGAGAGATGCTTGAAATTGTTGAAGTAGCCGGTCATAGTCTTACTAAGAGATGATGACATTTTGAGGAGGAAGCACCATAAGAGGTTCATATGCATGTGAGGGAAAGCTGAAATTGGCTCAGCAACTAAAGGATGGTTAGTACAGTCAAAGATAGGGGAAGGGGAAAAATAACTCAATCACTACGATCACCATATGCCCCATAGAAAAGGTAGACTAACCAAGCATTGCCAGATAGGAGTCAAAAGCTCAATGAAGGGAACAACCTATGAGAAAGTACTTGCAATGTTGAGGATTAAAAAATATATGATCAACAAATCTGTATATAGTAAAGTGACAAATGAAGCTTGGAGAAAAAAGTAGCAATCAAGATATCCTCATTTTAGTTATGACAGGTCATCAAATCAATATGGCGGTCAACCTAGAGTCTAAAGGTTTTCGCTTGAGTGGATCAAAAGCTGAATATATGGAATGTAATTTTTGTAGTAATAGACCTAGTGGGGGGATTGTGACTTTGGGCGATCAAGTCATTAATAAGAGTACACGTTTTAGATATCTTGGATATATTGTTCAGAGTGATAGTGAAATAGATGGACATATTATCAGTAGAATTCAAGTTGGATGGTTGAATTGGAGGAATGCATCGGGCTTATTGTGTGATGGAAAAATCCCTCTCAAACTTAAGGGGAAATTCTATAAGATGGTGGTGAAACCTGTAATGCTTTATGGTGCAGAATGTTGGCCATTAAAAGAGAAGCATAATACTAAATTAAGTGTTGCAGAGATGAGGATGCTTAGGTGGATGAGTGGATTTATCCTTAGAGATATGATACGAAATGAGTTTTCACGTGAAAGGTTGGAGTAGCTCTAGTGGAAGAAAAGATTAGAGAAAGTCGCCTTATATGGTTTGGTCACATAAAACGACAGCCTTCTGATGACCCGGAAAGTAGAGGTATTAGATTTGACTTATATTAAGAAAGGTAGAGGTAGACCTAAAAAGACTTGGTTAGAAAATATTAGAAATGGTCTTTCTTTATTAGATTTAAATGAGAATTTGAATTTTAATAGGACATAATGGAGAAAAAATATTCATGTAGCCGACCCCACATAGTGGAACAAAAGCTTTATGTTGTTGTTGTTGTTGTTGTAGGTCATCAAATCAATAGAAAAAAATTGTAGTTCACCATACTTACCCTGTAGAGTACTTTAATATTCCTGGATGGGATAATCATTTTGTTGGATAGAAAACATGTCAAAGTAAATATTATATATCTTAGGCATGTTGTTTTTTTAGAAGTAGGAGGTGTAAAGTAAATCCCATGTTGCCTAGTCATCTCTATAAACATGACATTAGAGGCAATAGAGAGCTCGAGACTATTGAGTATCCAAGAGAAAGCAGTATAAAAAGTCATTAATGAACTCTATGAGAGAAAAGTAAAGAAAAGGGAAAGATTTAGGCAATCATGGATTTAAGAGAAGGCAAGGGAGCGATAGTTCACAAATTGAGGTCGCAAACATATGAGATTGGGTGGGATCACATGCTAGTGCTAGATTAAGAGTGTATTGAGTGTTAGAGTTTATATCAAAAATTGCGCAAACAAGAGAGCTTGAGTGTGAGATTGCATGTTATGGAACACAGTGTACCCAATGGGCGAACAACAGGGTGATAGAAAGTAAGCAAATTAAGCGGGAGAGAGCATTTGTGGGTGTTGTGTGAGGGGGAAAACTAGTGGAAGTGTGGTAGAGGATGCAAGCACATATAACCTCTGGGGTGGTTGTAAATATAGGATTTAGTATATGTAATATTTTTTATTTAGAGAAAATCTTATAAAATGTTGACTGATTGTGGGGTCTAATTTGCTGAAGTGTTGAGAATAAATGTAAATGAAAACCAAACGCCCAAAGAAATTTGCACAAATAGAACAAATGATCTTGGTCTTAATAAATAATGTTTGAACAAGGATTTAAATTTTAAGTATTTGTGAGAGCATTCTATTAATGAGATATGCAGCAATTACGACAACTTCGCCCTATAAATACTTAGGAATATTTTGATAGTAAACACTTGTAGATCTCAAGTATTTCCTATCAATCTTCAGAAAACAGCGAGCTTTCTCCACTAAAATCCACACAAAATCACAAAAACAGTAGATAATTTGTATTATTTGACGAAATAGAAACGGAAAATAGAAAGATACAGTTGATCCTCAATTCAAGAGGAGGATCGATCTCTCCCAAATCTCTAGATACCGCTAGAGCCCAAAGGAAAACCTAAATCTATAACCCTAGGAAAACAAAGTATTTAATGCATAAAAATCAAAAGGAAATCCATAAACAATCCCTACATTCAAATTTCCCTCCCAAAATCCCTAAAAAATCCTTCCTAAAAAGCTTTGTGGGCTTTGCAGCTCGTGCGGTTGTAGCAAGAGGCGGAGAATGTCCGCCTCGTTCGTGACTAGACCGGTCTCGCGTGGACTGGCTAGACTGGTCCAATGGACTGGTCTAACATATTTCTAAAAAATATTAGTGATCTAGCCTCCTCTAAGCGATGTTTACTTTTTCTTTCAACAGCACCATTTTATTAGAGGAGGTCAACACAGGAGCTGTGGTGGTTAATCGCTTTATGCATTAGATAATTTTCTACTATCAATCCTATGTATTCTTTAACACTGTTAGTTTTTAAGCCTTAAATTTTGGATTAAAATTAGGTGTGGATCATGGTACTAAAATGTTTAAAATTTTATCATGCTTCAATTTTTCTTTAATTAACTAAATTAAACAGATATGATTGCCTGTGAAGGAAATACACCATTTGACTCCAAAGAAATTTTTACGCTCGATGGTCCTTACACTCCAAAGTGGACTAAAGTAAAATGGTAGAAGCTTTGTATGCTTCATTGGGATAGGAACTAGGAGTGTGTTTAGTCAAATGACAAATTTCACATTTGAAAGGACTAAACTGTCTCCAAACCTATTGTGTTTAAAGTCACATCAACCAATTCGACGAGATGAATTCAACAAGCCTAAGACCATTCTATTCTAACACCATTAAGACACTCAAATGCTAGATGAATGATCTTTAATCAATGAGATCAATATGATTCGTTCAATATAGTGTTTTGCATTTGGCCAAATTTAAGAAAATGTACTTCCCAAAAAGATAGACATACGGCCTCACTTTCTATGTTAAGGGAGGAAAAGAGTTGAGAGAGTTAAAGAACTCTATTATATTTTTCAACGATCTCCACCGACAACCACCATAAATAATCACTGTTATAATAGCCTGGTTTTCTTCATCAAACTATCATCTCCTTACTATTAACATTTAACTGTGTTACTGGACTTCAATTATCAACTTATGACACTCGATTTGTATAATCCCTACAACGGGAATCAAATATTATTCTAAATTGTATAATCTTTTTTTCTTTTTCAATTGTGAAGAAGAGCAGATTCTTATATCTATAATTATATAATGGACTATTGTAATTGGGTCAGGTCCTGTTATTTTTTCTTTTACTTTTTCCATGTAAGAAAATATGATATCTAATAAATTATATATGTGTGCAAAATCTTTATATAAAGCTATAATACTAAACACAAACTCTACTATAACAAATTTTCTAGCACACAAAAAAGAATTTTACCCTTCAGACCTAATATAATCTCCTTTTAGGGTTTTATTTACTATTTTCTAACCCAACATCATCGAATTGGTGGTGGGTGCCAGAATGTCTACAGGATGAGGGCATGCTTTCAAAATTAGGGAAATAAGGGATCAGCAGTTTTCCCTCCCCGGTCTCCTCTTGTGGTAATTTTTGCTATCACAATGCAAAGGGACATACAGGCATTTATCATCGATCTCCACTATAATAAAAAGGATTCGTAACAAATCAGTATTGGCCTGGTGCCCTAATTTGTCATGAGATGTACCAACTTGCGTATATAAAAAAAGTGGTGAATATATCCCGTTGGAAACTTGCGGGCCGCTTGACGCCCTAACCTCCTGCCCTCATTCTCGATAAATACTGAACAATGTTGTATAACACTTGCTAAGAAGAAGAGGCAATCTAAATAATTAATCAATAATTGTTAATCGAACGATTGCCACCTAACGACTGAATGACAGTAGATCAAAGCTCATTAAATTAAACCGCCCAACCAAACAGTTGAGCTCCCTGATAGCTCGCCCAAAAAGGATTTGCTTCACATGCCTTCCTATTGATGAAGATGAGGATGATGACTTACGCAACGGGTTAGCTTAACGCAGCTTTGTATCAAGCATGTCGAGGTCGACGGTCGAAGAAGAGGCAGTTGAAGAATGCGGAGCTTCCTAAAGGACAAAGCGCCAAGCTGATAATGTTCTCCCCTAAGAGGCCCAAGGAGGGGTCTCGGTCTAGTTCTGCCTTCAGTCCCGACTTCCCTCGTCTTTCTCGATGACCCTAAGCCATCTCCAACCGGAAATACCTATTTTTCACATCTAATTGAATGTCATTTCTTTTCTTTTTTCGGGGGTGCTCTTATTTCCTTTTGATGCACTTCTTCTGGCAACAAATTTTTTTTATGTAGTCGCATAGTACAACTATGGATGTGATTTGAAGTTCAAATGAAGAAAATGGCGGACGGCATAGTGTGATATGGAGTTCGATTGAAGATGGTCTAAACTTGTCTACAAGTAGAAGTGGCGAAATTTAGCAGAATGTGGGCGAGCATTCACTGGGCGTAAAGAACAACTGATGAAAATAAAAGTAAATTATTTGAGTTTGCGACAAAAAATTTATACTTTTTCATATCAAATTTTGAACTTTTGTTTTCATATTTGATAATTACAATAATAATTATTCATATATATTATTAAATATGTTTTTTTTAATTCAAGAGAGATAGGCTCTTCACGTACTTCAATTAAAATTGATAGTGGACACTTCAAAATTTTATTCATTAATTTTAAATATCATTTCAAATGCATGACTAATTACTAAATAATTTATCTTAAAAAAATTTGATGTTTTCAAATAACTTAATACTAATAATCCAATTTAACATTTCAAGCAATTCTCAACTAATGAACTCAATATCAATAATATAATTTAGCTTTCAAATGATCATGCTTTAGCTCTTTTCTCTCATGTTAGTTCTTAAATATGAGGTAAACACCTAAATCCCACACCTTCGAGCAACGATGAAGCCCCTTGCCAAAATAAAAGATCAAAACTTCTAGCTTGCAAGCCCAATTGATTCCTTATAGTTGGGCATGCCCTTATGAGTAGTTTGTTAATTAGGATGGGAAGCGATCAACAAGCTAAATTAGACCTAAAAAACAAAAGGTTTAAACAAAGATATTAGAGGATAGTTTTTTATGTTTCAACTTTTTATAGATTTTCATGGAGTGCTAAAAGAAGAAACACATTTAGGATTTATTTGGGACGGCTTTCTTACTGATTCTTCTAATTTCTAATACAAAATTTTTAATTTTTGAACTATAAAGCTGTTTGAAGAAGCAGTAAAAAAACCGTCCCAAACGAAGTCTTAACCTTAAAATTTTAAGGAGTCATAATATTATCATGCTATATCTAGTAGCATACTGACTGCATTCAAATTTACAGTATATTACTCTTAATAAGGACAATTGCTACCATTTTCTCTCTACTTAAGTTTCTTGGATTTATAAGATGCCCATTTTGTATTTGACTTTCATTATTGGTTAATGATATTGATGAAGATGTTTTATATAGTATTTTTGGTATTATATAAATGCAATACCCATTTGTACATTAATTAGAATGCATGTTGACTAGAATAGGACTTGATAAGAATTTTAGATTTGATTGGCCTCATTAATATTTAGAAGATTGAAAAAAAAAGGCTTAAGAACTGATTTAGGAAAAAAAATCAACAAGGGCAAATTTGCCCTTGATGACTCTACGGTGCTGGTGTAGGGAGTGTTGCATGCGGCACCAAACTCTTCATTTAACCGACGACTTTCTTACTGATTCTTAAAGTTGCTTTCTACTTCAAAATTTTTAATTTTTGAACTAGAAGCAGTTTTAAGAAGCAATAAGAAAGCCGTCCCAAACGAAGCATTAACCTTAAAATAAAGAATCATAATATTATCATGCTATATCTAGTAGCATACTGACTGCATTCAAATTTACCGTATATTACTCTTAATAAGGACAATTGCTACCATTTTCTCTCTACTTAAGTTTCTTGGATTTATAAGATGCCCATTTTGTATTTGATTTTCATTATTGGTTAAAGATATTGATGAAGATGTTTTATATAGTATTTTTGGTATTATATAAATGCAATACCCATTTGTACATTAATTAGAATGCATGTTGACTAGAATAGGACTTGATAAGAATTTTAGATTTGATTGGCCTCATTAATATTTAGAAGATTGAAAAAAAAAGGCTTAAGAACTGATTTAGGAAAAAAAATCAACAAGGGCAAATTTGCCCTTGATGACTCTACGGTGCTGGTGTAGGGAGTGTTGCATGCGGCACCAAACTCTTCATTTAACCGACGAAAATTAAGACTCTTGGGAGCATTGTGTCGCTACCTTCTCTATTTAGTTGATAGTGATTGGAAGCATTGCAGTGCTAATGTCACGCCCCAAGATCTAAATTAAAATAATTATCTATTTTTTTTTTTATTTATACTATTAGAGCTTCTATAAAATCTTCAATATAGATTTCATAGTCCAACCGGAGCAATTCTATACATCATATATGTTAAAATCTTTCCCCCTATTAATTCCTCAAAATTCATTTATAAGAGCGAGTAGATTATTATAATCAATAAACTATCTTTTAGTTCATAACTACAAAAGAATAAAAAAAATACATAACTGATATGTCATCAAAAAATTATCTTGATTGGGCACGAATTTTGAGAAAAAATCAAGTTGGAAATTTCAAAAATTAAATCTGGGATCATTTGAACTCCAATTTCAGCAAAATTATATATAGTCAAACTGAGCGTCTCAGAAATAATACCAAATTCAACTCGATCTGAGCCCAAATGAGTCCAAATCAAAGACTCGAAGCGCATTTGGAAGGTTCAAATCATAAATTGGATTACCAAATGGTTTCCAAATGTGGCATTCTTATATTCGAATCGAGCGACTCGACGAGACGATTCCAACGAGCCCAAGATCGCCAAATTTTGATATCATTAAGACCTTCAAATGTCTGACAAACGGTCCACAATCAAGGGATTCAATATTAACCATCCATCCAAACCACTCCCTATTTGCCCTTGATCCTCCTCCTATTTACGGGTCATGCCATCCTCAATAAACTATAAATAGCTTCTCATTTCTCTTAAGAGGGGACCCGAGCAAGAAGAAGAAGAGAAGAGTAGAAGGGAAGAAACTCCTCCTCGACTACTGCTGGGATTCTGCTTGACTTCCACTGGACGCCGGAATTATACCCGACTTCCACTGGATGCCAGAATTCTGCCCGACTTCTATGGGATGCCAGAATTATGTCTGAATTTCATGGGACGCCGGAATTCTGCTCGACTTCCATGGGACGCTAGAATTCTGCCCGACTTCCACGAGACGCCAAAATTCTGCCCGACTTCCACGGGACGTCGGAAAAAAATACATAACTGATATGTCATCAAAAAATTATCTTGATTGGGCACGAATTTTGAGAAAAAATCAAGTTGGAAATTTCAAAAATTAAATCTGGGATCATTTGAACTCCAATTTCAGCAAAATTATATATAGTCAAACTGAGCGTCTCAGAAATAATACCAAATTCAACTCGATCTGAGCCCAAATGAGTCCAAATCAAAGACTCGAAGCGCATTTGGAAGGTTCAAATCATTAATTGGATTACCAAATGGTTTCCAAATGTGGCATTCTTATATTCGAATCGAGCGACTCGATGAGACGAATCCAACGAGCCCAAGATTGCCAAATTTTGATATTATTAAAACCTTCAAATATCTGACAAACGGTCCACAATCAAGGGATTCAATATCGACCATCCATACAAACCACTCCCTATTTGCCCTTGATCCTCCTCCAATTTACGGGTCATGCCATCCTCAATAAACTATAAATAGCCCCTCATTTCTCTTAAGAGGGAACTCAAGCAAGAAGAAGAAGAGTAGAAGGGAAGAAAATCCTCGACTACTGCTAGGATTCTGCCCGACTTCCACAGGACGTCGAAATTCTATCTGACTTCCACGGGACGCCAGAATTCTGCCCGACTTCCACGGGATGCCAGAATCCTATCTGAATTTCACGGGACACTAGAATTCTGCCCGACTTCTACGTGATGCCAAAATTTTGCCCGACTTCCACGGGACGTCAGAATTCTGCCCGACTTCCACGGGACGTCGGAGTTCTGTCCAACTTTCAAGTGGCGTTGAAACTTCGCTTGATCTCTAAGTAACGCCGGAATTCTGCCCGAATTCCATGCGACACCAGAATTCTATCCGATCTCCAAGTGATTCTGGAGTTTTGCCTGAATACCATCTAATGTCGAGTTCTCCCCGGCCGCCGACTGACGTCAGACTTCTACTCGACGCCCGACTTCCGCACGTTGCCAGATTTCTACTCGACATTGGACTTTTATCCTTCATCAAATTTTTGTCAGACGTCTATGTGATGTTGGATTTCTATTCATTGTTAGACTTGTACCTGACACAATCCTTCTGACCTCTGTCGCCAGACAACGGTCTTTAGACCTCTGTCGCCCACCAACTACAGTCCTTCCGACCAAACAAACACATCAACATCAATGCTTTGTATTCACATTATGTAATATACTCTATAATATGTACATCAAGTTAAGGCCTTCACCCAATGAAGGGCCTCATTTGTAATCAACTGAAATATTAGTGGAATCATTCAAAATAGGCTAGACCCCGTAGTTTTTCTCCCTTTTTAGGGGTTTTCCACGTAAAAACCTTCGTGTCTCATAAATGCTACACCCTCTCTACTATCTGATTGCGTGTTAGATTTTCATACAAAGTTAAGATGTTAAATATTATATTTCTTTATTGCCATAGATACTCCAAGACGTAACAATTTGGCGTCGTTTATGGGAACGTGGTTCCCAACTGGGGGCAAATTTTGCTCTAACCTCAGAAGATCATTCATGTCAACTTCTGGATATCAGTCATTATTGCATTAATTCCATAAGAATAAGATGTGGACTGGGGGTAACTTTGACTCCAACCGTAGTAAAAAAGACCCTCTAATACTTTCAATGTCAAGATAATATTTTAAGAAGATCTCAGTGATAACAATGATACTTCCAATCAATTAAAAGTTTTATATAATCCATTACTGGACTTCTACTCCTTAGGCAATGTCTTAATCTCGACTTTAAAAAGATAGTAACGATCTAAAGATAAAATATTCTTCACCTTTGATTTGGGATACACGCGGTGTTCGTCCCCTCCCAATCAAGGCAAAATCAGTCCCAGGGGGATCCGATTCAACCTCTTCCACACAAGTTAACATCATCGAGCAAAGTGCTCTAATATACAATATCAGATAGGTGATACAT